CGCATGAAGTTCAAATAATCGAGAAGTATGCCAAGGTCAAATACAGCGAACTGATTCATGGTTATGCGGTCATGTTTATCGCAGTTGACCTGACTGGTCACTGGTCACCGGACAGAAGTATGCCCCGCTGTGATTGGCCACTAGTCACGGGACAGAAATACGCCGCACTGTGATTGGTCACGAATCACCGGACAGAACTATGCCGCACTGTGATTGGTCACTGCTCACGGAACAGAAATATGCCACACCGTGGTAGGGACCATCCAGCCTCATCGATCTCGCTGTTGTGCCGTGCTTAGTTATTTATACAGCAGTAGGTTTAATTCTCTGCGGGGTAGGCGTGATCTTCATGACCTTATTTGAATAATGGCACGCCATAACGACATACGCTGATGGACGACCACCATTATATGATGCATCATGCTATCATGGGCATCTCGGGCTATAAAGTCGCATGTTCGCTATTGCCATGGTTCACATAGTTATAAAAATACGTGGGATACCGAAATACACTCGACTCCAAGAATCTGTTCCAATACGACAGCCACAATTTAAAGTGGCGTGGACCGTGTTCAATGACACTAACGCAATGTTTCAAATTTCAAATCCGATACGGCTTTTGCGTAGTTTTGGCGTGCCCTTGTTTCATCTCCGATATTCTGTCTTCATCCAACCATGGTCAATATCAGAACTCCACATGCACGGAAGGCGTACAAACATGACCGCATGGTGGCAACAGCGGAGATCGCCACAATGTAGCCCGTGGGACGGTCGGAGTCGGTGGGGCCCGCTGCTTATTGCCCCAGGCCCATATGTCTCCAGGATACTTACGCGAGCTCAGGGCCCGTGCTGTCGGCGATCGTCCCCAGGGCCAGGGGCGCAGAACCGGCCGCGCGCCGCGCCGTATAGCTGCTTCGGCGCACGTCACGCGCAGCACGGCCACCCCGGCGTACGTCACGCGCCGTGTGGTCGCCCCGCTGCACGTCACGCGCCGCACGGCCACTCCAGCGTACGTCACGCGCCGCACGCCGCACGGCCGCCCCGGCGCATGTCACGCACCGCTATGTAATGACCTACTGCGCCGGAAAATTACGGATGGAACTGCCTCTCATTAACCGCCGCTGATGCGATTTGGGCAAGCCGCTTAGATTTGACAGAGGGGTGGGTGCGGCGGCTCGGGTTCGGAATGGATAGAGGACATCATTCATCAGATCACCACAGCTATGACGTCGTCACGTCCTCGAAATACGTAATTTATCAGGTCACCACGTACACGTCATGCAGATACCACGTCACCACATTAGATCGCAAAGTCACTGCAGCCATTAGGTCACCACATAATTGGGACGACGTGATCTGTCGCCGCATATGAGAAGTTCGAAATGCGATAAAATATCGCACAGCCATGCAGTAACTACAGGAAAATGTTCATCACTGTCATCAGGTGTCAGCTACCATGCTAATCAGGGCACCACAATGAAATGATGAACGCAAACATGATGCTATCTCCTTTATACGGGCATCGACTTGTCAGATCATCATGAAAATGGGCTATCAGGGCTAATGGGCTGTGTGACGTACAGGATTTCTTAAACTCTATGGTGTAAAGGGGTGGGGACTGATTTGACCCCAAAATGTTTTGACTTCTTCTAGACATGATCTGCGCGTACTACATCTAAATTTAGGGAACATCGTACGCGCAGAGGCGGTTCTGGACGTCAGTTTGATAGTGACCTTTAGCGAAACTTGGCATTAATGCTAAGGTGGTGAACACCGCGGAACAGTGCCCACCGTCTTATATTTATTGGAGTGGCTGCTTGGTTTAGGGTGTTTAGAGCGAATGTAAACAGCCGCATCTTGGGTATCATTATTTCAAGATACTGGCATACCTCTGTCATGTTGCTGTTGGTATATATACCAAAAACAGCATGAAGGGAGCCGTTCGAGAGCTAGAACAACGGGGATTTGCACACTGTGCGAATCGCATTGCGATCGTTGCATAACGAAACGACTTATTACATACCATCTTCACTTATGTGCCACACACATCATCTAAAAAATAACAGCATGTCCGAGGCAAGTTCAAAAACGCTAGCAAAAAATGAATGACTTATTGCGGTAAACAGAAACGATGGACACCGGCAGCGAGCCGTCAAGGGAGGCAGACGCTTCAACACGTCACGTGTCTCTGCCATCAGCTTCAACAGGTTACTGTAAAATCACGTGTCCCTTCCCGTCCCGCGGAAACCTAAATTTTTCGTGGCACATGCTAACACGCGGCCAGCACCGTAATTGCGTATGTTGGTAAGTGCATTTATGAGCAACGATATGCATTTAAATAACACAGTATTAATAACCTTATTCCTCGTAGAATATCCACGAGATTGGAGAGTCGGATATGCTAATATTTCGGCCACATGCCTTAATCAATGTGTCAGTTCAAATGCATCGCAATATTTTTTTTGTCCATGTGTTTACCCCCCTCTAAAATGTGTGAGGCTTCCTTGTTTGTGACTGTATATTTTTGCGAGGAATCAATTTTCGTTTCATGCTTGATAATCTGCCCAGTAGTGCTCAAGATAACAAGGGGTCTGAATGACCCCCCCCCCACCCATATCATTACGCAGGTTTGACAGGCCTTAAATAATGAACATAATTCAGTTTAATAATATTCTCCAGATAAATCATTCAATGTCCCAACGTAGCAAAACGTAAGCTTTATAGTCAGCGGCATATAATGCGGTTCACCTGTTCACATTCGCACGTAACTGACATCGCAGTAAGTGCGCAATGCTTTCTCAAGGTAATGTATCGTCGGGTGTCACCACACGGGACGGCGCACCGACCGCAGCAAAAACGCAATGCAAGGCGACAGATGCTCTAGCAGGCTTAGTTAATTGCAGGCTTCTGAAGATATGGTGCGATCAGGTGTTTTCGGCGGCGATGGGCTTCAGTGGTCTGCGTCGGGGCTATCCGACCGGCAAATGACCGGCTGAAATGACGCCCAACCCGACATAGATTATGCGTGCAGACGTCTGTCTGCGCCCCGCAGGACCCATCTTGATGAAGTGGATAGATTAATGAACGGCTCGAAAACCGTGTGTTTGCGGCGGAATATTAGTTAGCGTCTTTGTCATTTGTCATTTGTCATGCTGTGATTTGTCTCCAAAATAAAATGATGCCGGGTTTTCAGAGCAGAGCTAGCGAGTTATGCTATTTGAAGACACTGCTAAATGAGCCGGTTAAAAATAGACGAAGTTAATTTTAACATCGGAAGTGCAGACAAGGGTGAAAGGTGTACAGGGGGCTCGTGCACACCAACCCGTTAGGAAATGACAATGACCAGATTTCAAAAAGAGATATTAGAGAGGCCCTATGCCAGTCAGGAGTCTCACTTCCGAGGAGCCTAGGGCCATTTTGTTCATTCATTCATGAATTGAAGTATTCGCTCACGAAGCATTCGAAATCGATCTGAACGATCACTGCCTTACATGTGGCCGTTATGGCCGTCCGTTAGAATTCGCCTGGTGTTAGCTACGGGCGGACGCTGCGCGGCCATGGGGAGACTGCAACACACGACAGCGATATTTTTGTTCCAAAACACGGCGAGCGAGCATGCTCAAAACTGTTTACTTTCAACGTTTTGAGCCCCACATTAAACAGTAACAAAAAATAGATGAATACTCACACGAGAACTTGGGTTGGCCATATCAAAGCGATTTTTATCACCCTGTTTCGATCTACGCCGGTTCATTGTAGAAGGCCAGGAGTAATTATCTCCGTAGGACCTTGCCTTTACAGGGAATGCCCCTGGCTGTTATCAGCTTAGAAAAGGTCCAATCAAGCTTTTTCCTTAAAAAAAGGTGACACGCGTCGTCAAGCCCCTTCTATGGAACGTCAACGGCTGCATTGTCTATATCAGCGCTGAGTAGCTAGAGCGGATCGGCTATTTGGTGCAGTCATTGAATTCCCGGCTCTTGCATTTTATTGACTCCTAATTATAAGCAGAGTGACATGTTTGCGCGGTTTTTGCCTTTCGTTTTGGCTGAAAGGAAGTAAATACATCGTTTTTATACAACTCATAAAAATGGCACAATCGATATAAATTGAAGCAAATCAGATGAGTGTTTTCCTTTTCAACAGCAGAAGCCACATTCTTCAACCCGGCGCCTCTCCCGGTTACCAAAACTCTGTCTGCGTCTCAGATCTACCGATAACTAAAGACATATAAATGCTTAATGTTATACTTATGACATTAGCTAAGACAATTTAGATGTTACGTTTTGCGGCAGAACAACCATTAACAAAACTCAAAGTTTTTCGCTCATGAAGTGACGCAAGAGCGTCACTCCCTACGGTCATTTCCCTTACCGGCTATGGATTTCAGTTTTCCTTTTCACGGTTATGTCACGCATTGAGCCGCATACAAACAGTGCCGTAACGCTCTCTGCGGTTTAATCCCTGCGTATGTTTATTCGACTTCAATAACGTATATTTTATTCAACATCAGAGCAATTACTCATTTATAACTGATTTTACACATTTTTCACGCATGTTAAACAAAAACACACACGCACACACACGTACAAACTGCAGCAGCCTGCAAACATTGTAAATACCACTAAATCGCGACAAATCGCAGCACCAAACGTACCACAAAAGCGTACACTTCGGTAGCCCAAACTGCTCCCTTAAATGGCACAAAAAGTAAGTCGTATGCCCTTTGGAGGCAGACGTCTGAAAATCTCTAAAACCACAGACCTGGTCCAGGCACCAATTCCTACAGCACCCTCAAGAATACGAAAGTGCTCATCACGGCACACGAGCTGCCTTAAAGAACCTTTCAGACGTCTCTTGCGACGTCGTCACCGCATGCAACAGTTCTGCAGCCCCACATTGCAACATTGCAAGCGCGGTTCCCACGGCATGACCCGGTGTGACCCCAGGCGTGACCCACAACACTGGCCTGTGAGCTCACTGACTGGCTCCCCACCGCCCGATCACACCACCAGCGATGGCGCCCTCGCCGCGTAGTCCCCGATGCGCTGCGCCGCGTAGTGCTGGCCAAAGTCGCGGTCGCAGCGCCGGCCGTGCTCCCAACCGCAGCCGGCGTCTCGCGTCCCGGCGTAGTCGCCGGTCAGCAGTGTGAAGTGCCGGCCGCGCATCGGCGAGTCGTGTCCCAGACCGGAGCCGGCCGGCATCAGCATCGGACGCGTCTTGCCGTCGACGCCGACGCCGACGCCGACGCCGCGCAGCGCCGCGCCGGCCCCGCCGCGGCCCGCCGATGACGCGCGCCGTCCGCCGCCGGCGCAGCAGCAGCAGCGTCACGAGCGCGGCGCAGAACGCGGCGACGAAGGCGACGGCGGCGGCGGCGATCGCGGCGGTCAGCCACCAGCCGCAGCCGAGGTCCGCTTCGCTGAGCTCAGTCAGAAGACGGCCCGAGTCCACACAGCGGATCGGGAAGAGCACTGAGGTGTTTGGCAGGTGGGCGGGAAGGTCCCACAGCCACCGCGCCGAACAGTTGCACACTAGGGGGTTACCGCTCACGTTGAACGCCTCGATGCGCTGGAGCAGCGACGTTATGTTCTCCAGCGTGCCCAGGCTGTTGCCGCCGAGGTTTAGCACTTTGAGGTGGGGCAGGGAGTCCACTGCTGTCCGGGGGAACCACCTAAGTTGCGGGTTCATGCACAAGTGAACCTCCTCCAGGAGGAGGTTGTTACTGAAGATATGTCCCGTCACTGAGGACAACAGCTGGCTCTGGCACAGGCGAAATACACGAAGCCGATGCAGATTGTCCAAGTGCCGCGGCTTCAGTGACGAGAAATGGTTTCCGCTTGCGTCTAGCTTCTCAAGCTGCGGAAGAGCAAGTGACGCGGCTGGGAATGTTTCCAGCCGATTATAGCTGACATTGAGGGCGCGCAGCTCATACAGGTACGCAAAGGCCTCGGCATGCACGCTGTCGATGCTGTTCTCGGCCAGTGACAGGCTATGTAATGATCGCAGTTCGAAGAAAGCGTGGAAAGGCACTGCCTGCAAACGGTTGCCATTCAACGCCAGAGTCCTGAGCCGGGCCAAGTGGCGAAACGACTCCGATGGAAGGTGCGTTAGCCGGTTATGACTCAAGTCCAGTGTCACCAGCTCGCCCAGGTTTTCGAATGCGTTTCTGGCGACGGTCCTGATCCTGTTCCCCCCAAGGTTGAGTGTCTTCAGCTTCAGCATCCACCGGAACACCGGCCGGTCCAGCACCGTCAGCCGATTGCCGCTGAGGTCCAGACGCAGCAGTCGACGGAGACCTTTAAACGAGTCGGGGAGCAAGACGGAGAGCAGGTTGTCCTCTAGTCTTAGCTGCTTCAGCTCCTCCTGCATGACCAGCTGTCCTTCCCCGAGCGATGTAAGGCTGTTATCTGCCAGGTTCAGCTCACGCAGGCTCTGGTAGAAGCCGAGTGTGTCCTCTATGCTGCCGATCCTGTTGCCCTGAAGTCGGAGGATGTGAACGCGCGGGTCCAGGGAGATAGGCACCGCGTCGAGACGGGAGTGGCTGCAGTCCGACGTGCTTGGTCGACAGCGGCACTGCTCCGGGCACAGGGCCGCCGCGAGGTCGCAGATGATCGCCAGAGTCACGAGCGCCGCCCGGACCACGTCCGGGGAGGACATCGTCCGCCTCGGTGATGGTGCCACTGCTGGGAGACAGAACGGCGGTCAGGCAAGCAGAGGGACGGTTAGGCAAACATTTCTTTGCCGGGCGATCCGGTGCGCGAGGCGACGGTGATGCAGCAAATAGTTCGCCTTTTGTTTAGGCGTCGACACGGGCACACACGGAACAGTAGTAAGGATGTTGTTGACAAGGCGACAAAGCTGTTCGAAACATACCAGCGGTCTCACAGCCTTTCGTCAAGGCGATGGCACCCGGCATCGGAGAGTGGAGACACTTTGGTATCGCGTTTCGGATAATTAAGAGCGTTGAGCTTAAAGTGCCGTCAATAAAACACTCGTATTGCATATCCCCACTCACATTACAATGAAAGCCCTCATAAATTCCTTCGCTAGCACCTGCGGGGGGGGGGGCTAGAAGTCGACCCTTTTCGGTTTTGGGACACTAGCCACAAAATCAAGCGGGCGAGATTGGGGCAGCATTTCAAAATCTAACTCGTAATCTAAACACCGCTGTATAAATGCGTTGTATGCGTGCCTGTGCCTGCGTGCGTTGCATGTATCATTGTAAACGAGAGGAAACGATGAAATTTTGTTCGGCACCAGTTGCAAAGCTGCATGTTCAATAATGCCGAAAGATGTTAAAAACCTGAAGCCATATCAACATGTTGGTATCAAGGTGTTTTGTGTAACACGTAACGTCACCAATCACGTCACATATCTCAACTGAACGATGCTGAGGTGGGTTACGACAGTTATCGGTTGCTGTTCGAATTTTTCCGGTCCCGTGATTAGATTCTGAGATGGTAGTGGGCTGAGGGGTTACTTGTATCACCCAGACGTTCGATAATCGCCAGCTCACAGGCAGTGGCGGCGTTAATGTTAAACATCCCGGTCAGTGTCGGGGTATTTGTGTAACATTTTTAGCAACGCAGGGTAATTTGAACGACCTCAGTGAAGTGGATCGTTTATGAACTCTTTTTCACTGTCTAGTTTTGTGAACAGGATTGGCACGGGAATTTGAAGTGATGAAGAGGCGCTTGAACGACATGACTCCCTCGAAATGTTCACAGGGTAGATTATTAGCTGTGGTCTAATTATTGTCATACGTGGGTAAAAATCTACAAGCAACGCTAGCTCAACAAGATATATTCCTATATCAAGTTATTACGCTGATGCCGGAGTTCACCAAGATTTACCGGCACTTCTGAAACTGCGTGATACACCATACATCCTGAATTGTCTCCGCTTCAGGTCAAAGTCAAAGTCCACTGGTCGGGCCGGACGCCAGCCTCCGTGCCATGTAAATGGGCAAGTCCAGACAGCACCAGCCTCCATGCCATGTAAATGGGCAGTCCAGACAGCACCGGCCTCTGTGCCATGTAAACGGGCAGGCCCAGACAGCCCTGGCCTCCATGCCATGTAAATGGGCAGGACCATGCGGGCACAGACCTCCATGCCAATGGGTCTGAGCTTGGTCTATTTGCTGGCAGAATAGCCCATGACAAACACCGGTACACACTAGTGACTCCGACTTGAAGCGAAGACAATTCAAATGCGTGGTGTGTCATGCAGTTTTAAAAGAAGATTCTTAAACGCGGGGACATTCCTTCTCAGTGTATAGACTTTCTATCCATAATGTTTCCATCACTGAAATCTTCATCGATAGATTGTCTACACTATAGCCGCTTTAAATCGTTCTTGTTGTGTGAATAACTTTGCCTGGATCTTTATTTTGCTTTCTCTTGTATGGCTAGAAATGTGAGGAAATTTCCAAGATTACTCTTGGGGATCCGGAACTTGTCAACTTATGGTAAGTAATGATTCTTTTCTTTACAACCCTCCGCAGCTTTCCAAGAAAACGAAACTGTTTTCATTTCAAAACAACCGCGTCTCTATTTTCCAGCCCATAACAACTCAATTAAAGCGCATTTGCATTTATCCTATTGTCACAAACGGAGTTGACTCGAGTCTTAAGTTCATTCATAAACATAAGCGGTTTAAAGCCTCCCCATTTGCAGCCCTTGGGTAATATGTTAGAACTTAGGAGCCATAGAGAAGTGGGGTGAGAGAATGCCGACGAACAGAAGAACTTGTACAAAGGACATTCAGGAAAACTCGACTAGATGGCCTTAGGTCTGACAAATTGTTGGCAATCTCTGACAAATATGTCTTGAAGTAATGAAGGCGATTCATTGCCTTTCCTGCGCGCATTACGATGATGTATGAACAGGAATAACATCCATTTTCAGTGTCAGTACCATTCTCAGCAAGCCACATTTAATTTCTTGGTTGGATAATCGCTAATACTCAGTGGCAAAACCACGGCAAGCAGGCGATTGGGTGCGACGTCATCTTGATGGTCCGATGCGGCCCGGTCGGCGCCGGTTCTCCGTTCCGCTGCCGATCATGAACATCGGTCCACGCAGCGTGATGGGCGTTCATGCAACGTTGGATGTGGACTGTTACAGAGCATGTGGTAGTCTGCTCAATCACTGGCTGTTCTTCGGTGAGCCTCACAACAGTCTTCATCCAACGAGTGTTATTCGCAGGTCTCGCCAAAAAGCGACTTTGGCAGTACTCTGTCGGTCCAGACTACCTGTCTCCCCGCCTCCCTCTCGCCCCCCCCCCCCCCGCCGCCCCGCTCCACACTCGTCTCTCCCTCCACAATTTCTGGCAGCGCTCGTCGTGTAACACACTGAGTCAACCACAAACCACGGCGTCAAGGGACCAAAGCAGTGCACCCATCACTGGGATCAGAGCACGCCACATGTATGAGCATGAGGGTATGGGAGTGTTCCACAGTGGTAGTCAACGAGCCCGAAAAATCGCAAATCTGAAGGACTCCCCAGGGAACAGAAGTCCAGGCCGATCCAACAAGCGCTTCATGCAAAACAAAGGAGAATCAGGGACGGCAATATATCACCGACTGGGTGTTTTGGGTCATTACGGTACGTCAGGGGACAGCGATAGGGGGCGGGGGGCGGCAGGTACTCGGCGGAAGTCAGACCGCGATGGTTGCAACCATTTGTACCCCACGACACACAACCGCTGGGTCAAAACCACGCTAACCACCTAGCACTTATCATCCACCAGCATCTACCGCCAAAATCAGAGGGCCTTGCCCATAGGCACACCCGGACAGTCACCGGCGCAAACCCATTCAAAACCAGTTGACGCGGCGAACGAACGGCAGCAACTGCGGCCTCTGACCAATCAAGCAAATGGGCGCCACGCTCACGTGCCGGCCCGGGCATGCTGGCTGATGATGTCCGGTCGCCGAATGGCCACATCAGCAGTAACGATAACGGTCAGGTCAACGATCAGGGGCGGTCCCAGCACGCAAGTGGTGGGGGGAGGGGGAAGAGGGAAGGGAAAGGGACATCATGGCGATTACCAGGTGGAGGAATCGCGCCTTTGGAAGGTATTCTGAAATGTTATTAAATCGATCAAAAGTGAAAGATTTGCTGTAGCAAATGCACGAGAGCTCTGCCGGACTACTGCTGCGGAATTTCCACCGCTCCTACAATGCACCGGCAAGTCTCAAACACGTCAGGATTCACCTCTGCTTTTCCTTTCGATAAAGGCATGTTGCCGAAATATCAATACATCTTTATCTCCATTCTCCTGTTTTTTATTACGAGAAATAAGGCTATTACTACCGTGCTATCTATGTCCATAATGTTCTTCGCAAATGTACTTAACAACTTAGATCAGAAGATTAAGAAGATTAAGAGTTATTTGGGTGGATACGCTTATCGTAATACCTCCTGCTTAGCCTCGAGCTAACCATGGCAAATTAAGGTTGGGCGATCAGGAAGGCAGATAACGGAAACGCAAAAACACGGATATCTATACTGGGACGCAAAGGTCCCATGAAAACAGACCATCGTGTTTCGGCATAGCACCATGCCATGTGGATGAACTCCAGCTGGCTGGCCAAAAATTAGCCTACCATCATGACGGATGGGCTGAGCCCCCTCCCATTCAAGAGGTTTCTTAGGAAAGAGTGACGGCTGATGTGATGTGATGATGATGAAATGATGTGATGAAATGATGTGATGAAAGAGTGATGTCCGGCGCTTATGTTCCCCTGAGGAGGCGTTCGCTTTCCCTGAGGAGGCGTTCGCCCGCAGTGTTACATGGGGCAAGGTCCCTGTCGACACCAGCAGCGCTCTACCATATACGCCCCTGGCTATAACGAGCGACAAACAGCGGCCAGCGCCGCTCCCGGTGGTCTCCTGAATTATTCAGAGGGGGGGGGGGGGCCCGGGAGCCGCACCAACTGGCGACCCCCATCCCGCGCCCGAGGTGTGGGTGGCCACCGCTGATGGCCGCTGCCAACCACGCCGGAAACGACGCTGAGCCGGAAACGACGCTTATGTCGAGAATGGTATTAAACCGGATGCGGCAATGGCGTCGGAAAAGTCACTTATGACTGCCGTTACACGCTTGTTTGGGGGAAAATGAAGTCCGGGTCCGGAAGTTGTTTGACTTCGATGCATAGCAGTAATTGAAAAGTACTTCGATCTGTCGAAAGGATCCTGGGGCGCCGACAGCATCGAGTGTAGTAGTGTTTACCAGACCATACAGGTGCGTAGTTTCCTATTCTGCAGAGGGAGCCACAGTCGTCCCCCTGCTCCCCCCCCCCCCCCCCACCAACTCGGGATCCAGCCCCAAACATCGAGTGCAACGTGACCAGATACGGAGATAGACCCTTTTGTTGGCCATGTTGGCATAGTTTTCGTCATTTTGCATTGCTCAGCCCCCAAAACCTATTGGGCGAGACCACGACCTTAAAACTTAATCTAAAGAAAGATTAATAGCTGTTTCGTGAGCCAATTTCAACAATACGTCATGGATGTCGTATCAGATTTGTTCACACAGTCCAATGAATTCGAGGAATCTAGAGAAAATGAGCATCTGACAGTGCGCCGTCCGATGCCAATGCGCTTCTTCCTTTCCCGATGCGTCTCATTCTTGCCCACTCCGCCGCGTTTCTTTTTTCTTCTCATCGCCAATTGTG